GCCGATTTGGGCAAGTGATAGCAAGCAATTCGTCTGCGAGATCCTTTGAATTCTGGCCCCACGAGGGGAGCAACATATAGGGCAAAACAAGCGTCTCGCTCGAGACATCCGCAACAAACGAACAGGTGTGCTTTACCCTGTGTTTGATACATCGGATTTGTTTAATGCGTTTCGCTCGGGTCATCCTCAAAAATAATTCCGCCGGCCTCCCCCGACATCGTTATTTATCGAACAGAAGTCCGCCAGCCTCCCCCCAACGTGGCACTCAAGGACAGGATTACAATACTACAAGAGATCCTGGGACCGCGCCCTTTCCGTAACAACAACACTTCCAAGCAGGGCCTCGACGCAGCTGGCACCCCGGGGAAACTGGAAGACCCCCCCGCCTCCAATCGGGAGCGGCAAAGAGGGGGGTGCCCAAGAGGGGGGGGTGCAAATCATGACCGGCGGCATGTGCGCGGCCCAGCGGGGGGGCCAGGGACGTAATGAAACAAGAAGAGGCGCCATGAAATCTGGGAAATATCATGGCCCCCGCCATGATATCCACCCCCCCTAGTCATCACCCCCCTCTTTTCCACCCCCCCGCCTCCAAGCCGCCCAAGATGGCTCCTGAAGACTCCCAGTGAGCGTCGAACAAAAACGGGGCTTACGCGAGCCGCCAAAGCGGCACGCCACATCGAAGACGAGGGTGCTCACGCGCGACCTCACGCGGGCAACTTGCGCGCCAGCGTCGGCGCAGACGACTCCGTTTTCGTGCGTCGCTCAAAATGGGTTCCGTGCAGATGGGGTTGGGGGAACGCGTCGCGCCGCCAACTCATCGCCGGTGCATCGCATGCGTCGGCGATGCGGCGGCACTGGAACGGCCCCCTCACGCCTCGAAGACGCCGAACATGGCTCCCAGAAGCCTCTCAACTTGGTTCCGTGCTAGATGCGGTTGGAGGATCGCGCCGCGCCGCCATTTCATCGCCGATGCATCGGCCATGCGTCGGCGTGGAGAGAAAGTCGGGCTCCGCACCGGGACGCACCTCCGATGCGTCGGCAATGCGACTCGGCACTCCGACCCCATCTCTCCTCGGACTACAGGCTTGGGGGAACCAGCAAGTTCCCGATACCGCTGTGGTTGGTTCGTCAGGCGTCGACGCACGCAAAAGGTTTTTGACACCGCGTCGATCGTTCAGCCTTGAATCGATCGCGGCCCCGATCGTTCGAGAATGGATTCCGTGGGATGTAGTGGCGTCACCGTGTCCCTTGGTGCTTCCGTGTCGCATCATTCAACCTTGAATGCCTCCGCTGGCGTCGCCAGCGCGACAACGCCGCGTAAACCTATCTCCCATCCATCTCCCATGGTGCGCTTTGACCATAACTTCGAAGCCAAATGCTGCGAAGACTAAGAAGGGTAGCGGCATCGGTCCCTCTGCCTCCTCGGACATTTGCGAGGCCTGGGGTGCCACCCCCAAGACAGAGGGCCGCCGACCGCCGCGGACGTCCCGCCGAAGGCCGTCGAGGGTCCGCCGAAAGCCCGCCAAGGGCCGCCGAGGGCTCGCCAAGGGCCCGCCGAGGGACGCCGAGGGCCGAGGGCCGCCGCGGGCCCGCCGAGGGCCGCCGAAGGCCGCCGCGGGCCGCCGAGGGGCGGCTGCGGGCCGCCGCAAGCCGCCGAAGGCCGCCGAGGGCCGCCGCGGGCCGCCGAGAGCGGTCGGCGGGCGGCGGGGGGAAGCCGGTCCTGGTGGTCGTATCGTCGCCGCGCGCCAAAGCCAGCAACCGCGTCATCACCGCCTCGGGCTCCAGCCCCGTCAGCTCCTTTGGGGAGGAAGGAGGAGGAGGAGGAGGAGGAGGAGGAGGAGGAGGAGGAGGAGGAGGAGGAGGAGGAGGAGGAGGAGGAGGAGGAGGAGGAGGAGGAGGAGGAGGGGGCGCGACTCGAATGACTCCGCCGAGAAAACGAGAGGGCCACGCTTTATTAGAGGAAAGCGCGGCTATCCCGAAGCCGCGTGGGTGTCACCGCTTAAGGACATCCTTGTGCGCGGGTGACGCTTGGCCTTCGAAACCTACTGGTCTCCCAGTCGGCGGAGCCATTACACTGGGCCATCAACACTGGGGACTGGCGGGTGGATGCTGATCCCCCGCGGTTCAGACAGTAGACATATTGGCCTTCGGTGACCATATGGTGCCCCCGAATGAGCTGCAATGCTGGCTCATAGGGCCGACTCGAGGCCGCGCTAGACACAGCGGCCCCCCCCCACTTCAGCAGCCCTGTTGCTCGCGACCGTCCACCCCTGATCGCCAACCGCGGCCCCTAGGACACGATCCGCCGCCGCGAGGGCGATCGAGATGGCCTCCTCGCGGGCTGCCGGCAGCGGCGCAGCAGGAGGAGCATAGGCGGCTAAGTTGGAGAGGCGTGCACGAGCGCGCGCCATCATGTTCTGTAGGGCCGAGGGCGCACACTCTGCGCGCCCCAGTCGCCCCCACCCTGTCTCAGAGCTCGCCGAGGCCAGACACAGGCCGCATTACCAGCTCGACCCGCGCCGAATCAGCTGATGGCGCGGCTGCGCGAGCTGTGCAGGCGCAGGAAGGACAGCTGCGCAGGGCATTTCTTGGACGGCCTCGCGGGCGTCATCCATGGTCGAGCCGACCGCCGCCATCAGGCGCGCTAGAGACTTGGCCTGCCCCCCTGGCGCCCGTCATCTTGGCGCGGGAGACGCCGTGGATGGTTCGGGGCAGCGCGCGCAGCTGGGCCCCGACCTTCGCGGAGATGTCGGCGCATGCATTGCCGTGGGAATCGCCTTCGTGGCGCCTGCCAGCGCCCCGCAGGAAGAAGCCCACATCTTTGCGCGCTGGGCGCCATGTCACCCCAGGTCGCGGAAAGCCGTCCATCGTTCGAACGCGCCGCGCCAGACGTCGGCACGCTGGCCCCGCGCACTGGCAAGCCCAAGGCCCCGGCTCTCGCTCTTGGCGGCCAAGGCCGACGAATCAGTGACGGCATGGGGGGCGCGCGGCATCGCGCGCAGCATCTGCAGAAAAGCCCGGCGCCCCGCGCGGCCGACGGCCTGGCGCCGCCTGGGCAGCGCGCCAAACACCGTTCAGCTGCACCAGTGCCGTGGCCGCGCGGCGTCGCAGCCCGACCCGTCGCGGTGGGCGATCGTAGCGGCGACTCCCAATCGCCCCAGAAGTGCACCTCGGCCTCCAGCGCTTCTGGCTTGACCAGCTGCTGGAGGAGAGGCAGGCCGACCGTCAGCTCGAAGCGGACGTAGTCCTGGCGGGCAATGCCGACCCCAGCGCCATCCTGGATCCTGTTGCGTAGCTTAAGCAGCTTCCCGGGCAGCTCCTCCAGCTCCCCTTCCGCCCCATCGTCGCCTCGCGCCACGATGCGCGGGCGCTCGTGGACATGGTGCCCCTTGGTGCACGGCGCATCGCATGGGCAGACAGGGCAGGCCGCCGACGCGGGGCAGCCCATGGCGCGCGTCTTGACCAGGCCCCAGGAGGCCCCAGCCCCGCCTCATGGCGGCCCAGAACCTGCCGACCCTGCCATCGAGCGATACCCGCTCGAAGGAAGTGGGCCACGTCCCTGGGCGGTGTCTGCGGCAACTTCAGAATTTATCCCTGGTCGGTGACTAGCAGCAAGCTGGAGCGCATCGCCCAGCATATCCTCAGCAGATGCCATGGGCCCGCGGGGCCCATGCCATGACGGCTTGGCCTCGAGTCGCTGCGCCTCCACTTTCTGCCAGGCGCGCCGCAGCCTCGCGGGCAGCGTGCGCTCGTCCCAGATGAAGTCGCAGTACTTCATGACTGGGGGCAGCGTGGCATCGAAGATCAGGTCGATGTAGGGGCCCCGCTGCGAGGCGAGGCGCAGCGATATGGAATCGCAGCGTACCCCGCCACGGCCACTGCAGAGCATGGCCGCCGCGCAGCGGGGCCTCGCCAGGTGCTCGCCGGCGGCCCCGCCCACCGCGGCTCCTTGGACAACGGGTGGCAGGGGCCCTGTGCGCCGCAGGGCCCGAATGCGCAGCCCCGCCGTCCTCTGGGGCCCCGCAGCCCTTGGCCGTCGAACCTTCAGCGCGCCCAGCCCGGCCTTAACGATCGTGCGCCGCGCGCCGCGGCCGCGGGCATCATGCCCCAGGTCGCGCGCTCCAGCGCGTTTCCGGAGGCGCATCTGGCGCGCCGCGGGGGCAAAGGGCCGCTGCGCCTCCATGGCGGTGGCGAGCCAAATCGACCTGCTGGGCTTGGCCTCCATCCCCGGCGGCCCCGCATCGGCCAGCCCGGACCTGCTCGCCAATTCACTGGAGCGCGAGATCGTCCATCAGGCACCTCGGGCGCGAGGTCATCCGCGACCCTCCGCGGGCGCGTCGCCGCCCTGTAGAGCGGCGCCGTCAGCGGCCCCTCGCAGTGCGTGCACCCAGCCAGGATGTTCTGGCGCGCGCAACTCGCGGCTCCAGGAGCCGCGTGCGCGAACGACCCCCCGCGTGCGGAAGTAGCCGATGAGCTGCCAGCACAACCGCATAGGGTAGCGAAGCCTCCGCGCCCCCCCCCGGCAGGACGCTGTCGGAAACCTTGTGCAAGTCCAAGATGATCGCGAGGCTGGACTCGCCAAGCAAGTGGGCGATCTCGGCCACGATGTTGAGGCCATGCGCCGAATCCACCGACGAGTAGTTCCGCCGGAGGCCGAAAGCGCACTCATGAGGATGCTGCTTGACCCGCTCCTTCGACAACGGCCTCCGCGCCCTGGCCCAGACGCGCACCAGCTGGAGACGAGCGCTGCGAGGCGCGTGCCGCCATCTGGCTTCGGAATCCGCTCCCAGATGTGGCGCGCCTTGTGGACGCGGCCAAAAAAGGCCAACAGGGTCAGCACGTTCTTCGCCACCCCTGGCAGGCGAGGCCCAGGGTCGTGCACGCACAGCGTGATCAGATTCACGAGATTTGACCTCGCTCTCATCAAGTGCTTGGCCCACCTCGCGATCGACGTCCATGCTAGGAGCTGGTCCGATGGCCTGAGCCCGCGCTGGGCAGGCTGCCGCTGGACGCGGACCCACCTAGCGGTTGGCTGCCCAGCTCTGCCTCCGTAGCGCTCACGCTGGCGAGAAACCATGATATCACGGCTGTCGAGGAGCTCAGCCTCAAGGAGCTGCAAGGTCTGATCCCAGCAAGCTCGCAAGTCATTATCCGTCATGGCACCTCCAATTGTCTCCTGGAGGCGGGCCCATCCCCGCGCGAAAGGCGGTCGAGCACAACCTGCCTTCAGCACAGGCAGTGCAGCAAGCTCTACTGGGACCCGCTGCCACAAGATACGGTCGGTAGCCAGCAGCGGCAAGCGAACAGCAGCATGGACGGGAAGCGGAGTCGCCTCGTCGACCTGAAGGGCCGCTATCCTGGGAAGAAGGTTGCTGCAGCACACCGCAAAAACGATCACCGTGCCACGTAAGCATTTCCTGCACGTCGGCACGTCGGGCTCCACAGTGATACCGTTGACCGTGTTGATCCACCGCTGGTCGAGCTCCGCCACCGTCACGTTCCAATCGCCCATGATGACCCAATCGTAGCCGCACGCCTGGAGGATGGCCACGGAGGAGGCCAGGGTGTGGAGCAACTGGGCGCCGGTGGCGTCCATGCCCACGGCAGTGTGGAAGTACACCGCACGAGCACCACGCCTAAAGGAGGGCCCCAATGGATGTGCCCAACATCAATGCGGCCTCGCGCCACGGCCCCCACATGACCGTGCTGGGGCGCGAGGGCCGCCGGGCCAACTGACGTGCCGCCCTGCCCCGTCGAGTAGGCCAGGGCGAAGATGCCGTGGTAGCCGAGGTCCAGGAGGCCGCGCTCCAGCTAAGCCAGCCCCGCAGGAAACACATGATGCTCCTGGGCCGCTATAGCCCTGCACCCAGGCTGCAGCGAGGAGGAGGAAGAGGCGGAAGAAAAGGAGGAGGAGGAAGAGGAGGAGGAGGAGGAGGAGGAGGAGGAGGAGGAGAAGGAGGGGGGGGAGGAAGAGGAAAAGGGGGGGAAGAGGGAGGAGCAGGAGGAACAGGAAGGGGAGGGGGAAGGGGATGTGGGGGGCGGAGGAGGAGGAGGAGGAGGAGGAAAAGGAAGAGGAGGACTAATGTAAACCGAAGGCCCATTAACGATGTTGCAGTAAACTGTCCGTCCAAATTCGTGTCTCAGGTCAGTACAACTATTTATTGCACTGGAAGGGCCCCCCCTTGCAAGACGAAACTCTGCACCGTGCCAGCCCACCACTCTTGGGATTTCAACGCAGCGAAACAACTTCATTGCTGCGTCATGACGATATTGAGCCATGGCCAGAACACCACTTCCGGGATTTCAACACCACGACTCGGTACGACCACTGCGGCTTGACACTCATGCGACGTCAGCCATAATGGCTATGACATGTACGCGGCGCCAACGCGAAAACCACAATGTAAACATACTATGCCATGAATCCGCGAAGCTCTTGCGAACGTGTGCAACAAACTCGTGACGTTTTGCGTAATCTCATTCGCTCATCCAGAGACGTTGGTCAGAGGAGTTGCCTCGATCAGGAAGTGTGCAGCACACAGAGACAGGGCCCCTCTTGGAACGCTCTTGGGTGCATCGGGGAGCCTCGTGGGGCCACTTGGGGGTTTCTTGGGGGCCTCTTGGAGGCCTCTTGGTCGCCTCTTGGGGCCTCCTTGGCGCCCTCTTGAGGCGCTATTGGGAGCCTTGGGAGCGTTCTTGGGGCCATCTTGAACGAGATCGATCAGAAACGGTAGGAGTTCTACTAGCGGGCCCTCTCTCAGGAACCCCCGAATCGCCTCTTGGGCCCCTCTTGGGGC